GTGTAAATATCCACATACTTCATTTGAAAACCTCAGGGCTCTTTATTTCTGTTACAGCTAGACACAAAATGCTCAGATATATAAAACAAATGATAACAAACTGTAAACACTTCTGCAAAGGTGAAAATATAAAGAAGACGATGGATTTATGTTTGCAAACAATTTTACTTTGAATCTGTCTGGTGTGAAAACCTATCAGTTTATCAAAATTTGTATGTGATACAACTGTACGTTAGAATTACAGTGGACAAAATGCATGAAATCCCAATCATCAATACCCTACAGCAATTAACGATGATAATTAAAACTAATATGATCTTCAACTATTTTCCTAAGCACTGTTGTTATGATTTTCTATTTAAAATTTTCATTTTGGGGAACAAAACTGACCTTTATTCTCTTTCTTGAAATAGTATGAACAGTAATTAAATCTTCAATCTCAAATTTTAAAACTTAGAGCTCTTTAAGTATTTCTGCTAGTCTTCGACTATTTTTGGTACATTGTGAACTTTAGGAATACCTTGATCAATGTGACTTAAGGTCATTTTTTTTTTTGTCTGGATAGTGCTCATGCTTTTTGTCTTTATACCAAAGCAGTAAGGCAAGAAAACTTTTCCTTTTTCATATCACTTAGAGAATATCTATCCATTTGAAAATTCAGGGACTAGAAGCAGTGCAGATAATCCTACCCACAGGAAATTAAGGCAGCTGTGAGTTTCCTTTCTATTTAAACCGTAACGTAAGATGAGCAGTGTCACTGCCTATAAATGTTGTTTATAAGCATTTGGGCTTAAGTCACAGGAGATAAATATTGCCATTTCTGTTTGTATTTCAATACTAGTTAATAAGACACCGTTTTCACAATTACCTTTGATAAGTTTAAAGGTGAAGTCAGAAAACACTACACGAAGCTGAAGCTGGATGACTTTGCTACAAGGAAATAATGGCTGAGGGAACAGGAATGGTTTTCCAGTGTCTGGCACTGTGCCCCTAGCTCTGCAGAGACACGCAGGCCACACTCCAGCCACCATGGCACAGGTGTGGGCACCTTCCCTGCTCCAAAGGGCCTGACCTGCTATTGCCAAAGGCCCAATGCACAGCTGTGCATGAACCACCAGGTGCCAGTTAGAGTATATCCTGTTTGTTAAAGTGTATCAGTCTTTTCTGAGGCAAGCCTTTCTAGATATGTGAAAGAGAAAAATCACAGCCTAGTCTGTAAGAGTTTCCAAAATCATTTCCTAGTATGAACGTGAACTCGGCTTTGCAGTATGCATCCATCAGCGTTAGCACCATATTTAAGCCTGAATTGAGGTAAAGATAAACTCTCAGACTTTGGGTAGAAATTACAGCAGCAATTTTGAATGGGGTGTTAACATCGGTATTCTTTCTGATCATTAAAATAAGTTGTTGGAAAAACTACTTGATCCCAGGTATACATGCCCAAGTATATATTGAAACTGATAAATTATAAAGCTGGGTGTATGAGCTTTTAGCCAGAAATGTAGCAAAGCAGAATTCACATTTCTGAAGTTCAAAAAATGTTATTATTGGCTTGATGAAGATTTTGTAAAAACACTGTGAGCCAATATCACAAGGCTGGCTGATCAAATGGCAACGCCTGAGACTGTTTCTCAGAGCACAGTCAAGTTTCCTGTGGATGCCACCCAGTCAACACCAGTTCCTGCACGAATCATCCCCTGCTTGTTGCTCGTTAATAAGAAGGTAAGTAGGTTTTCTTTTCCCCAGTTATTTTAATTTATGTAGAAAAACTTCCCTGAAACTTGTACTTAACATTTGTATAAAGGAACAGGGAGGAAAGACCCTAAAACTTAGTTAAAATTTTGAAGGGGTAAGAGTGAAAGGATAACTGGACTAAACAAGGGAATTCTCTACTTAGTTCCCGTAAACTGATAAGGTGAAACAACGCATAAAATAAAAAAACTAGGAAAAACTTTACAAATTGCTTTTCCCCTCCCTTTAACAGTACTTAACATATAAAGAAATAATAAATCTTAAATATAGCTTTTGGGGGCATAACACAAACTAATTTTTCAAAGGAGAACAATTAGGATTATTTATTAAATAAAATAGAACCTTGGAGTTTGAGCAACAGCGGAATTCCATCTCTAGTCACAGCTGGTCTTGGTGCTCAGGCAGGGGCACTGAGACCAGTGCTTACTGCTCAGGCAGAAGCTTATCACTCAGTTTGACCAATATTCCTCAATATTCGTCAAAAACACTCATCAGCAGTATTTTCATCTGACTCTGAGATTCAGATGAAGATACGAGTAACTTCCCTGCAGCCAAAGAAACATTTTAAGGAAAGAGTATAAGGTTTGTTCGTAACCTTAGTATTCAGCTGAATACTACAGATCATTCTTCAGAAAACCCATGTAAACAGTCATTCTTCTTTATAAATCTGCTGGTGCTAACTGCACCTAACTGCTAATAGACATGGAGGTACAGCTTTGCTAAGTTTGCAAGAATGCTAGTTAATATATAAGATCTCTCAGTTCCCTGTCGGTCAGTTCATTCACTTCCATGATCTTCTCTAAGTGTTCCATGTATCGACCATGGTCCTGCAAAAAGTGAGGGACTCTCATATTTTCAGTAACTGCCAATCCTTTTAAGCGATCCACGTCTTCATAAGAGACCTGAAAAAAGGAAGGTGGGTTACTTTTTAAATGTAACTACCAGTTATGTTTTGAAGATCAATTTCTCCCTTTGGTTCTAATTGAAACCTTAGTATGTAGACTGTTTTTCAAATTACTCCAACACCTGGAAATCAGCAAAACTTACTCGGTCAAGAAAGTATTTATCTGCCCGCTTAAACCATGACCATATTTCAAAAATGAAAACTCAGTATTTCATTCAACACTCCATCTTGGACCTATACAGTTGGTCTAGAAATGATACAAGAAAACAATATACATGTTCATAAACAATACATATTGTATATATAAACAGTGTATGTAAACAATGTTCAGTTTACACAACTAAACAATATGTGAGTGAAAAGACTCTAAAGCTAAACAAAGCTCCTGACAAAATCTAAGGAAAAGAATTGAGAAAATAGAATGTAAATACCATAGTATTAACTTAGGAAAACCTGCAAATTATACATTAGATTCCTGTTTGTATTTAATTTGAGAAATGTAATCTGTGCTTTGCACTAAATTCTATTGCGTTCATTTTCAATTTTTTAAGTGGTTTCAAAAATTTGACATCTTTCATTCACCTGTGTAAGAAGCCATCATTCACAGGTTTTATATTCAGTTTAGAGGTGAAAAATTTTTAGCTTCTATAACTTATCTTTGCAACTTTAAATTCAAAAATGTGGGCTGGCTTTAAAAACACTATTAACTTCTGACCAACATTCTTTCTGGTTTAGTAGGAAGGGTTTAAATAAATTCTGTTCATGTTAAGTTTTATTTATATTCTAGCTATTAAAATTATTTATTGTATTCAGTATTTATTCCAGTAAGGGTAATGGAAATGGGTTTGTTAATATTAGAGTGATTTAATTTTTTAAACCACAGTTCTTTTTAAGGAGAAAATGAGTAAACATACCGATGTTGGGAAATAAGGTTCTCACCTTAACAGAAGGGAGAAACACATATAGAAAGGGAAAGGAGTTGTAAATGGAATTTGTACTGCCCCGGTTTGACTTAGAATGCTATTATGATTTAAAACAAATACATGAGTTGCTCATCGAAAAGGTGTAGAAGTATCAGCACCCGCAGGACTGATGTGCACACCTAGAGCACTCAGGTCATTTTTTCTAAATACCACTTCCCACCAGAGGAATCATGGCTTCCTTGGAGAAACACCTAATTGCAGATTTGAGTAAAAAAGGACAAGATGAGCCGAAAACATCTTAGTTTGCCAGGAAACAAGTAGACATGTTCTAAAAAACATAGGCACAGCCACTGAAAGAATGGAATAAAAAGCAGTAAGTCCAAATACTAAAAACAAAGAGGGAGTGAAAATGTAATAGAATTCAAAGATTTTTATTTTGCTACGAGGGGAGAAGGGGGGGAGAAGGGGGAGAAATCTTGAACGTCCTACTGGAAGCATATGTTTATCATGAAATACAGTATTCATTGCGCTGTGTTCTGATGACTGCGTGAGATGCCCTCCTGCCATTACGCCCTGTGTTGTTCTGTTGTCAAATATGATATTCACTGGGAAATGTTGTGATTAACGTTCAGTAAAGTTTGTATGCTGTTTGCCCCCCCAAAATAAAATACTTAAAAATATATGTATATAAAAATAAATAATATATTCCCAAATTTCCTATTGCCTTCTTTATTATCTGTTAATATCCACTAGGAAATACTATAATTTTGTTCTGTGAAACAACAGGTTTTCTGCCCCTCTGTTATCACATAAAGGAAAATTACCCCAACAATAAAGTAAAAACAGTTTCCCGACTTGAGTCTTCTCAAATCATGAAATCAGCTGAAATCTTGGCCTGGGGCCTTCTGTCATTAGTTTCACTCACCTTCCCCAGGGCGGTCAGCAGATGAAAGTCAATGGTCTCTCTATAGCGGAGGATTTGCAGGATACCATCCAAGTATACTTGGTCTTTACTGAAACACCCTGGAGGAACCAGAATACGGTAATTGCAGCCTACTAAGTCATCCCTTTAAGAAGTCCTTCTCCCTGGATCTACATTCCTAGTAATTAAAATAGCACTTTTCCTAAAGAAATGCTAGTAATTCAAAACACACAACTCTTACAGTGGTCCTGCACTGGGAAGACAAGACCCCAGAACATCTGGCTTTGAAAGTGAGTGGGACTTGCTCTGGGGAGACCCAGAGGACCGTGGAAAATAGAGATTCCGTTCTTAAAGGGTGCACAAAAAAATCTCACATGCTCTGGGACCCAGGGCAGAAGTAGTCATCTGAAAGGAGCTTGGGTCAGACCTCCCTGATGATCTTGGAGAGTCTCCTGAAGAGGCAGGAGGCAGATGGAGCTGACCCTGGAATATAGACATGTGGTGCCTGCACAAGGCACCATGTTCAGACTGGGGCTGCAAAGCACCATTCTGGACTCCTCCCTCTAGCTTATCTTCCTTGAGACCCAGCTCCAACTCACCAGCCTGTTGGCACCAGGACTGGGTCACGTCAGACGAGGCAACTAGCTGCATACAGCCCACTTCACAGCAGACGACCTCAGCATGCTGAGCCAGGACACAGCCCAGCCACCAGCAGCTGGTGCCAGCTCTGGGACCCCCTGGTCCCTAGCCCTGACCAGCAGCTGGGCCAACACCAGCTCTGAGACACCCTGGGATCCTAAGCCAGTACCCCAGGAGAATGTCAGATGGTGCAGTCACCTTGGACATAGTGGCGGTTCCTCAAAACGTTAAACAGAGTTACCATATAACCTAAAAACGCCACCCCTAAGTACATACCCAAGAGACTTACAAACATATACTTGTGCACAAATGCTCACAGCAGCCTTATTCATAATAGCCAAAAAGTGTAAACAACCCAAATGCCCATTAACTGGTGAGCGGATACATAAAAGGTGTCATATCCATGCACTAGAATATTATTCACCAATAAAAAGGACTGAAATACTGAAACATGCTATAATATGAATGAACTTAAAACATTATGCTGAGTGAAAGAAGCCAGCCACAAAGCATCACCTATTACATGATTCCATTTATATGCAATGTCCCAACCAGGCAAAACTAGTAAAAGTAGACGGACGGTTACTTACCACTGGGGGCAATGGGGAGAGAGAACAGGGACTGACTGCTAATGAGTGTAAGTTTCTTTCTGGGATGATGAAATTTTCTGGAATTAGAGGTGATGGCTGCACAACACCATGGATTCTAAAAACCACTAAACTGTACATTTTAAATGGGTAAATTTATGTCATGTGAATGATGTATCTCAAAGCTGTTTTTAAAGTCAGAGCGAGAAAGCAAAATTGACAAAATGTTAACAATTGTGAATCCAGAGGAAGAATATATAAATGTTCATTCCATCATTACTTTCTCTATTTTTGTAGGTTTCAAATTTTTCAAAATGAGATGGGAAAAACAATGCCAACAAAACACGGTTTGGGAGAACTAGCACTGACCTCAAGTAACAAAGGTTTAATTTTTCACTGGTGAGTGAATTCTCTAATGGGCAGATTAGGATGTAACCAAAGTCAAAGATAATTACCCAATAAATCAGAAAACTTGTTAAGTCAAGAGACACCTACCTGGCTGGGAAGTATCAGTCCATCCCCTCTTGGCTCGAACACAATAATCCCATCTTGTGTTGGGGTCCTTGACAAACTTCCCAATATCTCTGAAGAGTTCACAAAAAGACATTTGGCTGGCCTGATAAACAGTGTAGTAGAGGAGGGCAGCCCTCCACAAGAAGGGGTCTTTCCTAAACAGGACACTGTGAATACTTGCCAGTCCTTCCTCTGTGGGATTGTTTGGCTTTAGCTCATGTTTTTTACGGCCAGTCCAACTGTTCCATGGCTGCTGAAGGTTGTTAATACCTCGAAAATAATGTGTGCCTATGGAAAAGAAAAGGCACATGAAAAACAAGAAATGCCATTCTTATTTTAACTCTTCTCCCAAAAAAAGAGTCTCCGACAGTTCTAAAACCAAATTGATGTCTACCTACAAAACAAAACAAAATAGGAAATAAATTGACCCTAGTGCCCTTTGGTCTGAAGAATTACATGTCTCATTAGAAGAGGTTTAACTTTTATAACAATTTTTTACAGAGAGGAATTATAGATTTGATATTTGAAAAGAATCTCAAAGATCACTTAATTCACTTCCCTCAGTTAAAGGTGGGGAAACTGAAATCCACAGGAGTTAAATGACTCTCCAAGCTTAATACAGCTACACAGTATCCTAAAAACTCTAATTTGAATGAGACATCAGTATCTTAGCTTTAGTTCAAGTGAATCCTAACAATTTAATTACTTTTTGCCAAATATTACTAAGAAATATTACCCATTATAAAAGAACACGTCCTTGAAATGTTTCTGCTATTACAAATGAGCAAGTGGAGAAGGGTTGCCCGTACCTATTTCATGCCTCAGCATTCCCTCCAGCCAATGCTCACGTGCAGTGGAAACATTGATGGTCAGCGTTGGACATCCATTGACTACTGTCATGGAAGCTCGGGAAAGCAGGTCCTCAGTGAGATGAACTACAATCTAAGGAGCAAGAAGAAAAATACATGTATACACAAAATGTAGGGGAGGGGAGCTTTCACAGAAAACAAAGGATCTATAAATTAATACTTTTTTTGTTTGTTTATACCACCTTGAATCTCCCAGAAACCAAGAAGATGAAATGCAGGGCCAGTCACTTTAGATCTTTCCAACTTTGACCCTTTGGGAACACAAGAACCTTTACTGGACTGAAAGAGAAGTAGACGGCTGTGCTGAAGGAGACACAGAGAACTGAAGTCATGCCTCTGCTGTGCTCTCAAATACAGACCCCTGGCCGGAATGATGCGAAGGAAGGTGCAGGAACCAGAGTCCTGTTCACTGCTGGGTCAAGGCTTATTTTGAGACTGAACCCTAGGAACTGGCCACTAATAAGAGAAGCCACTGTAGAAAATCTCTTCAGTAATAATATTGATAAACCAATTCACATAATCCCACAAGCTATACGAAAAATGTAGTAAGAAAAGAAAAACAGACCAAAACAACTCAACATGACAATTCAATGCAATAGAAACTTAGACTTAGACTTAGTAAGATATCTGGGTGACTAGTTTAATGAGTAAAATAGGGTTGGGAAAACAAAACCTGCAGGAAAAAAACACATGTGGCACTGACTTGGCGCTGACTGAGAGTTAAAATGCCCAGTTAGCTTGTCGTGTTCACTCATGATTCATACCTCACCCATGCAGCCTTCTTTCATCATGTACTTCCTAACATGACTCCAGATTCGAGTTTTAGATAGCAGGCTACCACCAGTGGCCTGTTCAAATCTTTCATAACTTCCATACTTTTGTAACGTCAGTTCCATAATATTGACGGACTGTGAAAGAAACAGAGATAATGAAAGTAAACAGCCTCCTACTACTTTGAGATAAGTAATGAGCTACTTATATTCTTATTCATCATGATCTATTCTGTGTTAATTGATTTCCAAATTAAATTGCAGCTAAGGTACCACATTTTTCTAATCCTAAACAACTTTCACTCATTTCACAAATTTTTACACACACCTTTATATGTACTTGTTTCTCCTTAAGACACTGAAGGATACAGCAGCTCATGCGCTGCATACTGTCAACAGCTGACGGGCTGAGAAGCTAAGACAAGGGGGCTCCTTGGCTTCTCTAAGACCATTTGGTGATTGTGCAGGAGAACCCAGAAGGTATGTCCCCAGACTAATCACTAGAATATAATTACCATTTGGATAAAGGAAAAAAAAAGGCTGATTATTCTGTGATGATCCTATAAAACCTGAAGTTTTCCTGGGCTACTCTGGCAGGAAACACAGTTTCAACATTACTAAAACTTTCATCTTTCATTCAGAGTAGGTACTATCTACTTTGCATTCTTCATAAATTTTCACACCAAAAGAATATGAAAGTTGAGATCTTTTTCTCTAAGCACAAATCCACAGAAAAGAAGATGAAGAAAACTGGTACCAAATCACAGATCATCAGTATCTATGGGAAAGCCACAAAAAAGGAAAACTTAAGGAGAATGCTCTTCAAAGGTTGTTTCAGAAAGCTAGAAAATTCAAATGTATCTTTTATGAATGGTGACAGAAGCTAGAAAATTCAGATACACATTATATTAAATCTACAGTTTCCAGCTGTTGTCAGGCTAATACAGGGATTAAAAGTACAAGCTCTGAGGTCAGACTTCCTGAGTGAATGTCCTGGCTCTGTCACCTTCTGATTGTGTGGCCCTGGGCAAGTTACTAAGCTTGTTACTAAGCCTCCTCATTAGTAAATGAGGATAACAACATAATGTCTACTTCACGGTTTTGTTGAGAAAATTCAGTCAACCTCTGTAAAGCGGTGTCAGACATAAGTAGTCAGTATGTGTCAACCAGTACGTCATCACCGTCATCATCATCAGTATGTTATCATTCTTTGTAAGTACCAGCACTGTAGCTGACATGCCCAACACAAAAACTACAGCAACGCTCACACGTAAGTTATAAGTAAACATATATCCCCACTGGAAAAGTATGTACTACTGATAAACTGGCATATACCATAAAGTTATCATAACAAGAAATGGCTTCAACAGGCTTGCCTGGCTTCATTTCCTAAAGCTGTTATTGAAAGCTTTGCTATTCAAAGTGTGGGCCAAAGGCCAGCAGCATTGGCACTGCTTTGGAAGCTGGTTTCAAATGCAGAATTTTGCCTGCCTCCACTCTCCACTCTCCACGCCTGAATCAGAATCAGCATTTTAACAAGATCCTCAGCTGATTCCTGTGCACAGTAGAAAGTGAGAGGGATCTCAGGGAATGGGAACATAGGACAAATACCCTAGGGGCTAATGTATTTATACAATTAGGCTAATTAAAAGAACAAATTAGCACATAATTAAAAATCCATTTTAGCAGATTAGCAAAGGTATTTGCATATACTAGTGTGATGGTCACTAGTCATCTATATGTCAGAGTAAGAAGAATGTGAGAAATTTTGCCTTACTTCCAGAAGAGAGAAGTGGAACCTTTTATATTGGATCTATATTTAGATCTAAAAAAAGTTAAAGAAATTTTTTATTATAACTTGTGCTTATAGGTTTTTAAAAGTATGAACTTAATTTCAGATAAAATTAGCTTTTCTAGCATATGCTTACTCAGTAGGAAAATGTGCTTATCTGCTTACTATTTAATTATAGCAGATATAAAACAGTCTATAAAAGTAAGGAAAACTTATATACAGGTGTTCCTTGTTATCAATAAATGGTACTTAGTAGAAAGCTAATAAGCATTCATATTCATAATAGGGAACAAAGATCTGATTGGAAATTTATTCTGAAAAAGGTACCCTATGAATATGAGATTTAAAAAAATCTTAACTTTGGCAGTTTAACAATTTTGAGGCAATCTTTATGCCTATGAACTAATTCTTAGATACATGAAAGAATGGATAAAAATAATGGGTTTTTTTTTTGGAGGGGGTGTAATTTTTCCATCACTATGATATACAATAGCATATCATTTCCTTCAAATCCTTCAATGGCTTACATGGCGCCATTTTGGTAGCAACCCTATGTGGGAGCTACATGGATGCTCCCAAATATATTGTGTTCAATTATATTATATTATATCATGTTCAAAACTGAAGTGCCAATCCTATTGGCATTTCTTGATTTTTCTTCATTAATTTTTCAACTCAAACATAGACAGATTTGTCAGCGACTACACAGATCTCCAGTATCCTTCACTGATTTCCCAATCCATCTGCATTATAGTAGACCTCAGCATAGAGATAGACAGTGGTAGGATAGGTGAATAAATTCAGTAAGAGACCAATCATGAATGTTGAATGGTTACTTCATCAGTAAATATTTTTATGTTACAATTTCTACTTCCTTATGCAACCTCTTGCAAGCCACAAAAATATTACAATTATGCCCTCAATTTTAGAAAAAGGAAAAGGCAATAAGCAATTTAGGACACAAGGAAGTCTAGAAGGATACACCCAAAAGCTATGTGACATGATGTTCCTGTTTGGGAAAGGGTGATGTGTTGCATTGATGTTTAATTATTCCTACTTTATAGAAGTTTTACAGTTCTTTACAATATGTAAAGGAAAAAGTCATTTTTCCCAGCTTTATTGAGGTATTATTGACAAATTTAAAATTGTATATACTTAGGTTGTATGACGTATTTTTTTAAGGTGTACAATGTGATGACTTAATATATGTATATATACATTGTGGAATGGTTACTACAATCAAGTTAATTTACAAACCTATCACCTCACAGAGTTACCATTTTTTTAATGTGGGAACATGTAAGATCTTAATAAATTTCAAATATACAATACAGTATTATCTACAATCAGCATGCTGTACATTAGATACTCTGAACTTACTCAGTTTATAACTGCAAGTTTTTAGCCTTTGACCCACATCTCCCCACAAAAGTTAATTTTTTTAAAGGAATAAAAGAGAGTTCACTGTTTTCCCCTAGAGTTCAGAGAATCAATATCCATACAACTTTGAGGATCAAGCTTTCACACACCTCCACATGGTTAATAATTATTTTATTTTATTTTATTTTATTTTATTTTATTTTATTTTATTTTATTTTATTTTATTTCAATAGACTTTATTTTTTAGAGCAGTTTCAGGTTTATAGCAGAATTGAGCAGAAAAAGCAGAGTTCCCACATAGCCCTCCCTGTGCACACATATATACTCCCCTACCTTCAACATCCCTCATCAGTGTGGCATATTTGGTACAATCGATGAACCAACGTGAGCACATTATTATCAACCAAAGTCCATAGTTTACATTAGGGTTTACTCTTGATGTTGCACATTCTATGGGTTTTGACAAGTGCATCAATGACATTTAGCCACCACTATAGTATCACACAGAATAATTTCACTGTCCTAAAATCCCTTGTGCTCCATCTACTCATTCCTCCCTCCCTCCCTCAATGAACAATGTACTGTTCATTGTTTCTAAGAACATTCAGACCTTTAGCTTTTGAAACTTACATAGTTATCAAAAGAATAAAGCCGACCACAAAGTAAGAATTAACTC